AGTGAAGCTGTTTGAGACGCCATGGCAGCGCGTGGTGGTGCCCGACTCCAAGGGTAAGACACGTCCGCATCATCACGCCTTTGTCAGCGCCAGCCCGGGCTTCTCCACTGCCTAGTATGTCGATCACTGTAACTTGGTATAGCCTGCAACATACACTCACTGTCACGTGTTGCTTATTTGTTCGTTTTCTATAGTGTGGTGGCTCGCAAGTCGGCGTACGGCGCCCCAGATGTGACGGTGCAAGGCGGTGTGGACGGCCTCAAGGTGCTCAAAACCACGCAGAGTTCTTTCGTCGACTTCTTCCGCGATGATTTCACGACGCTACCGGACGTACCTGACCGCCTGGTCTGCACATGTGTCACGGCGACGTGGAGCTATACACCCGACGCCATCGGCGGAGACTTCGTTGCCAGAGTGGCAGAGATCAAGAACGTGCTACTTGAGACGTTTGCGGGTCCAGCCGATGTGGGTGTGTCCAGTCCTGCCGTGCAGTTTACGCTGTACAAAATGGGCGAGGCTGTGCTGGAGAAGTGCCCGTACGTCAAAGACATCAAGATCACAATGCCTAACATCCACAACAATCCCATCGACCTGTCCCGCTTTGGCTGCAAGAACATCCATCCGCACGGCGAAGTGTTCCTGCCGACGGACGAGCCACACGGCATCATCTCGGCCACGATGGTGCGCGCGGCGTCCAAGCTGTAGGCTGCGTCTCTTTTTCTTGGCTGGTCTTCAGCCAGTATCCTCTTTTGAGTACATTTAAAACTGATAAGAAACCTTATGGAAAGTACTGAGGTGGTGCTGACAGCATAGTGCTGTCTTTATTATTGTTGATAGCTTTGTCTTTGCGTGGATCAGTATCCAGCAACACTCTGCAGCAGACTTTCGGCTTGTGTGGCTCGTGGAAAGGTATGGGTAGTCCGACTTGACTTTTTCCTGTACACGCTTGAGTTCTTCAATGCCAGGACGTTCGTTCACCCCACTACGATATGTGTTACACTTCGAAGTATTAAGGAAACGATACAACCCAGGCTTCGTTGTCTTCACTTGCTAACGCAAATATGAGATGGCAAGTGCAATAACAGAGTCCTTAACAAATACTCCGAAGTAGTCAACCATGTCGTAGTTGTGCAAAGTGCTGGTCCTTCAGTTGAAGTTGGTACAAAGTGTTGGTCCTTCAACTTGCAGACATCCACTTTTCTCCACGGTAACTTGTTCTCTCTTGCTATTTACTTACTTAAGTGTTTTGCTTGCATGCTATCTGCCCACATCAGCCTCATTAATGAAGTAGCGTATGTTATTCCATGACAGCCTACTAAGTATAAAAGTCGCCGAGTGCCCGTGAGAGCGTATTGATTTTGGTCTGTAGCGATGAATACCGGCAGGTATCAGCTAGATGTTGCATACGCTGTTTCATCTCTTGGAAGTAAACGTCGCAAGCGTTGCATCGTTGAGCTCTGTCAGCGAAAATACTGAGCGTCAGACCACGAAATTTCCAACAAATACCACCCTGGACATAAATTCTTACCGTTCTTCTCCTGCGAGGTTAATCGCGCGCGAACGGTACTGTCGCGAATCTCGAGCGTCCTTGACGATGGGCGAGAATGCATCAAATAGTTTGTGTCCAGAATCAACGCCAACACTTAAATATCTGCATAATACGATAAACGTCGTTAGTATAAGCAGTAAGTACCAAGCACAAAACGGATAGAACACTTTACACACAATTCAAATTTGCTGTCCAAGACCTCTACGATGAGTGGAAGGAGTAGCACACAAGCCTCCAGATCGACACCCAATGACTGTAAGTCTGTGATACGCAGCATGTCCACCAGGATAGCCTCGCGCTTCCCTTTCGGCAACTCACCAATATATCGGAGGCCATCGTGCAAACGCCCCTTTTCCCAGTGAACCAGCAGCTGTTGAACGCACTTCTGCCGAGCCTTGAAGGCCTTTATACACGTATCCATGCCACAGCGAAGCTCCATCACGAAGTCCGACGTCCTTAACTCTTTCTCATGCTTTTCCGTTGGCAGCGACGGTGGGTCTACTGCACTCTCATGCACCGTTGCCAGCCCTTCCGATTGCTGTGGTGCTGGAGTGCCTAGCTTTGCACTCACCGGACGTGCCGCCTCAACTTCAGAATAAAGAAAGTTAGTTGATGCTCACATATATGAAGGTTAACAGCATGGCCTGTACCTGATTGATGAGGGACTTCTGTTCGACGCACTGGACGTGGGATCGACTCTACAGGCGGTGGCGGGACTAACACTCCTGGAGTAGCTGGGCGGATACAAGCAACATTGCTGAAATCACGAGAAACTTGCTCTCTTTGCACCGGAGGTTTTGCCTGACTAGCGACATCGGCGACATCTCGAGAAGCAGGCAAGTCTGTCGCTGGTGCGTTAGCAGGAGTCGCTACGACAGCTGATCGAGCCTCGTGATGTTCTACAGGATCTGGAGCCGATGGGATTGGCTCTCGTGCAGCCTGTACCCTGCTGGTGCCTCTGACCTCTGCAGCTCCATCGTCATTATTGTTGCTGCTTGTGCGGTTAAATGGCCGCATCTGCATCACGTCTAGTACCCACACGGAGACGAAGGCATCCTGAATGCACCCGCCCATCAGCTTCATATCCTGTGTCATCGTTGTGTCAGCATGAATCTCCACATGGCCTAGCTCCTTCTGACGCGGCATCAGCACACTGTCGTGGCACTGATACACAATAAACGTGCGGTAAGTGTACGGGGCAAAAGCACAACGGTATCTCAAAGCATCGAGCTACTAACCTCGATTGCAGTTTCGTAAGACCAGACTCGAATTGCTTCTTGAGAACAGCAAAAGAGATACTTGCCGCTGTATGGCTCTGTAACTGTGTGGCTCATCGATGTAGTCTACGGAATTGAGAGCATTGAGAGCACATTTAAAATATTTTAGTATAAAGGACCCAGCCATGTTTATGATTTGCCTCTGGTCGACGTACCGTAGCATTATCCACGGGCGTGACGCCGATCAAAGCGAATTCCTGAACGTCCCAAAATCGCACGGTGCGATCGGCAGCTGAAGATACGAGAATGAACTCCTCCGGGTTAAATTCCAGGCTGGTAATAGCACCACCGTGATCAGGAAACTCGTGAAGAAGGCGTCCAGCTGTAAGATCCCAGATCTTGATGACACCGTCCTGGTCACCTGACGTAAGCCAACGTCCATCCGGCGTAAAACTTACGGCTGTCACCTCCGATGAGTGTCCTTTAAACGTCTGCATGCAGCTCTTGGTTCGCAAGTCCCACACCTTCACAATTGTATCTCTTGAGCCAGAAGCCACATAGTCACCGTAGAGATGGTAGTCGACTGCTATAGTCGACGCCATGTGCCCTTTTAGCGTCCGATTCACTTTGCCAGCCTCCAGGTCGAACACCTTGATCGATCCTGCTTGGGAGCCAGCCACCACCTTGTGCTCTGCTGGGTCGAATACGATGCTCTCGACAGCGCTCTGGTGGCCTGACAAACTCTGTTGGCATAGCATATACACGACGATCCTTGATATTAGTACCCCCACTACTAATTAGCCGAACAGAGTGCTACATTAGATGCAGCAATTGCTACGGGTGTCTCGTACCATAATGTTCTTGGTCTCCTTTTCGCGCATCCGCCAGACATTCACCAAGTTGTCGTCACCACCAGTCGCAGCCACTTGACCCTGCAATTATCAAATGCGCACAAGTTTAAACATTGGTGTATGGTGGAGTGTTACAGAAGTATTGGAACGTCGTCCTACCGACTTGCGGCCGAAGCGAAGGCAGTTGACATTGCTGGAGTGCGCCAGGAAATGCGCTACCTCGGCACAAACACACAGAGAGAGAGACTCAACATATTAGCAATCACAACCACCTATTGGCGTCATAACTCGTATAACACAGCGTGAAGACTCACAGTGCCGGGCGAGCGCCATGTCTGGCAGCGTATGTTGTCTTTTGGCTCATGCGACGCTTGCTGGGCGGGCTGCGGGCATAGAATTTGTAAGGGTGAAAACCCGTGGGCCGACCCGCGTTACGGACCCCGTAGTACCGTTTTGACTGATTCCAGTCAACAAGCACAAAATTGGGAGCGCAACTGGAGAAAATCGTTGAGAGCGCGATGCAGGTCCTCATCGCGGTGCTGAGCTTCATCGACATCGTGGCGCTCACGTTCCTCAACGGCTACTGGGTATGTGTTGCCCAATTCCCCCTCAAATGATGCGCCTCTTTGTCTCTCTCTCTCTCGTTCTCTCTTCCTCTGTTGCTGACCAAAGTATCTTCGAGTGACGCAGTTGATCACCCTCGATGAACTGGAGCTGGACCATCTAAACCCGGCCGACGTGGCCAAGCGACTTAACAAGCTCGTTTGTGCGCGGACTTTTTGCTGCTGTAATGCTGTACTGGGCAGAGGTTTGTTTTTGCTGAAAGTTTGCTGTCGTGGCAGACCCAGAGATGATCCTGCATGGCATCCTTATGTTCCTGTGCGTGCTGGCGTGGGCTCCGTGGGTATTCCTGCTCAACGTTCCAGTTGCTGTGTGGCACGCCCGACGGTGGGTGTTTTTTTTATCTCCTCTGCTTGAGAAGAAATGAATGGCTATGCTGATGACTGCTGTTCTGTTAATTGCAGTGTTCTGCGGAATGAACACATGATGGACCCGACGGAAATCCTGCGCTTCAAGAATCTGCAGCAGGCTCGCTTGGAATCCATTGCCAGGACGGTCTTCTACGGTCTACAGATCGTCTATGGGATGTTCTGGTATGTTAAGACTGTCGCTGTACTCGACACCTGCTCGTTTCTCGTCAGTTAACGCGCTTTCATCGTTTGCTCTTGTAGGATGGTGTCGGCTATTGTGAACTCAGCGAAGAGTCGGAAGGGTGGCAAGCGCGCATAGATAACAGGGAGGTCACTGGCATCACGCCAATGCCGAGGTGGAGACCGTTGGAGGCCGCGTCTGTCTCCAAGAGACGATGGATAACCAAGCACAAACGTCCCCATCAGCTTGGGTACGTCGAGTATCCCGTCGTATCCTCGCCTAGACGTGCTAAGATACACTAGCGGATATGATGTCGGCGAGCTAGAACTTGTTAGGTAGTTGCAAGCAGCACAAGCAACAAATGTAGCCAAAGTCCCTTTCTACCCTGAATTACACCCCGAATTACAAGTATAACCAGACCGGGAATGCGTAGGCGATATGAACGTCGGCGCGCCGCCAAGGCCAAGGCGGCTGCCGCTGCGGCCACAGAGAAGACCAATGCGCCTGCCAGCTCTTCAGGACCTGTAGAAGCTGCCGCGACGCCTACCGTCACGCCCAAGAAGCGGCAGACGACGGTGCATGCGGCGGCGCAGATCAAATTGCACGTCCATGGCCACGAGTTCCAAAATGGCGAGGAGATCGTGCTCAACCCTGAGAGTTTCCCTCAGCTCAAGGAGCTTATATGGAAGGACTATGTAGTAGAGGTTTTTCACCCGGAGCACACCGGCGACGCGCGACAGTTCATGGCCTCGGACGGCGCAGCGGTGGCCTTGGCCGAGGGTTCCCCACAGAACCATCTACTGCTTGAGATCCCGGAGAGCAAAGCCGCACCGTTTAAAGGTAAAATGCAAGTAAGCGTACTGAAGGACACGGCCGCCATCTTCCAGCTGGCGCCATTTAAGGATGTGACCGTACGCTTCCTGCCCAAGACGCAGGTCGAGGTGGACTTCGTGGAGGTCTCACTTAAGGACCAATTCATGTCCAGACGAGACCTCATGTACCTTAAACAATCCATGGCGGGAACAGCACTGTATGTGGGCAAGACAATCAGAGTACAGGGAACGAGGTGGCAAGTACTGGACGTGCGCTCAGGCGGCGAGAAGGTGCGCAGTGGAGTCATCTCCGAGAACACCAAGTTCACATTCCGCTCGCGTACGTCGCGTATCATGTGGCTGGTGCAGGTTAGTCCGGAGATGTGGGATATGGCCAACTCTGGTATGCTCTACTTGGAGATCTTCCTCACGGTTGTGCGCAATGTGCTGAGCAAGTGGATGAAGCACAAAGTCTCGCACAGTCTCACGATTCTCTTTTACTCCCGCTGCTTTTACCCGGAAATGGACCAGGATCAGGACTCGTCAACGTATTCCAATCGGAGGTTTATGCCCAAAAGAAAGCAGTCGCGGGCTGCAGACGATGAGAGAGAGTCGTCCTTCCCGTATGAACGCAGTGATTGCTTCTCGGTTGGAGTCGATGAGGATGGTAGACATTATCAGGATTTCTACAAATTGGTCGCTTTCGACAGTATCATTACAGACGTGCAGCCATTGCTTGTGAAGCTTAAAGAGGAGATGAATGCGTTCCCGAGAGAATGTGGTTGGCGATCACCTGCAGATTTCTACGTGTCGTCCTTCTCCCCTGCGGAATTGATCCAGGATGAGTCGGGTCCACGCCCAGGCGTCCCCTCTAATGCTCGAGATGGAAACCTGCTCGAAGCTGTGAATCTCGTGCTCAACATCTTCGAGAAACATCATATCGACCGTGATTTATCACGCAGCGGCCAAAGTGTAGTGCTTATCACTGCTGGCAATGGCATTTTCTCGGTAAACAAGCGTCTTTCCGAGATCACTGAGCAACGCATGATGGATCATGGTATTGGTATTGACTTGATCTCACTAGCGTCCCGCCCATTGCACAAATGCCCGCTGTTTCTCTTCAAGCAATCCGATTTGTCTGAAATGAAACTTCCCGGTAAGAAAGAAGGCAACCCTGCGAACGAAATGTGTTTATGTAACAACAATCCGCACGGTTCGAAGAATGGATATCAACGGCGTTCACGAACAGGCTCGAGTGACGTGGTGTCAGACTCGCAGTCAGCAGCAGACACGGGTGTGTCAATGCGAACTGGTCAGTTGTGCAAGTATTGCTTGCAGCGGATGGAAAACCGGAAAAACTACATCGTTCCGCTGTGGATTCCGCTTTGGTTTGTGCAAGAACACATGCTCATCCCACACGAGTGTCCGCTAGATGAAGATATCACCCAGTTTTGCGACGTTTGTGCGCCAAAGAACACGAAGAATAAGATATTCGAGCCGCTTCCGATGTGTCGGATGTTCAAAGACAACGATTTCACACACTTCGGCTTCCTGTCGCTCCCGAAGCCGTTGGAATGTTTGTTGCATTCTTTTAAGAAGGCTGAATCATCGCTCAGTGACGATGATCGAGACAACATGGACTCTGGAATAGCACCCTCGGTCGGTGGCTCCACATACGACAACGTCATACTTGCTGGTCTGAATAGCGACCTTGTTCGTGCTCGAGCGTCTTCCATGGCGTGCTCGGAGGACTCTCTCTCGTACGATGGGGAGGTGTTGACCAAAATCCGATCATTTTCCTATTCCGAGCAAAACAAGCTGCTGCAGGAGTATGAAAGATACGACGACGAAGTGTTTGGCTTTGCACCAGCGCCGAGACTAGCACAAAAATCATCGGACAGCGACATGAGTGTCCGATTAGCGTCAACACCGCCAATCCGACCTGGTGTGTCGTACTTGATGAAGAAAAGAACTGGGACCATTGGATTCCACTCAGGCTCTGCCGGCAATGCCAACGAAAACGGGAGTAGTAACAGTGCTGGAGCTCGCTGGCGACAATTCGAGCAGCGAGAACCGTCTCCGCTGAATGTCGACATGGCAGAATATCGAGGGAGTCTGGAGGCTAAAGTGGGGTCTCTGGACGACGACAAGGACAAGCCAAAGATCACTTCGAGCTCGTTCCCAAACACATATCAGTTGGCTGACGGTAGCGGACCGAACCACACGTCGTTTACAACCAGTCCCGTGTTACGTCCTGCTGATGGCGCAGTGAAAGAGGATATTTTCCACTCACAGGCGTTCATGTTGAAGCAACTGACCAGCAACCAGCGTCGATGGAGTCAAGTGCGGCCTTATGAAGACCGCCAGTATAAGCTCGCGCAGAATGTCCTCAAGTGGAGAAGTCTATGCTTTCCTGCTCTTTTGCCTCTAGCCAGTGATTTCATGCCGGCCCCCAAAGAGTTGCAAGCGCACTACACTGAGTCTTTCTACAGCGTCATGCTGCCAGAGCGTGACGAACAAAACGGAGTGACGTTCCGAGATTATCGCGAGTTGGTTCTGGAGATGGTAGCACAGCGACTGTCCCAAGATTTCCAGCTTGTATCGGCCGAAGACACGAGTGAAGTGGGCGAGAAAGGTAGCACAGTCTTTCGACTTAGCATGGGACATCGGATCCATGAAATCGTATACAACGAAGAAACCCAGACGATCGATGTGAAGCGCTATCTCCAGAAGGTGACGACGCGGTCCGATGTGGACATCATGGAGTATCGGTACTCGCTGTGGTCGCCTATTGTCGATCGGTTCGTTACTGTGGCGCAGGAATTCCGCAAGTATCCGCAGATCGAGTACCAGTGGAATCATCTCGACCAGCTCATCTGTGGATACATTGATGATATGAGCGAAGGAATCCGTTATAAGCGCAGTCTGTATTGCCTTCTCCCGCCTCGACTTGACGGATCTGATGTCGGTGATCAAGGTAAGATGAGCATAGGTCTTCTTTTGAGTAGAATAAGTGGCTGATATGTTGTGTGTCTTGACGGCTTGCCAACAGAAAACTTGCGGGATTACACGGAAGGCTGTCGGAAGTTCCTGGAGTTTTTGCGAGCCAAGGCAGATGCCAGCACAGGGTTCCCTAATGTGAAACTCGCGACTGATTGGAGAGAAAACATCTCGACGAGCGGTACCGATGCCTTCAAGCGTGTTGGCCAGCGGAGTGTGAAGATGCTGCTGCATACAAACGATGCCGTCACGAGTCAGAACTGGGTGATTGCTAAAGTTGACACGGAGGTGCTACCAACGCAGTGCTATCACGTGGAGATTCAGTGGCTTGTATGCCGTAGCTCCCTCGTCGATGATCTGATCACAGGAATCTGCCGTCGTGCCAAGCAACTCGGTCTGGAGCTACAGAGAGTGACGGAGAATGGCATTTCGAGCAACCTGGACCTGCATCCGCTCAACTGCCCCATTTTCCTCAAGATTGACGACCCGTCCGAGCGGCGGATGGTAGAGAAGGCGCTGGTTGAGCGCTTTGACTTCTGCTGCGAGGCATTGCACCCGATCCCGTTTACACATTTGAACCACAATGCCGAATATGCCATCGTGGCACAAGAACCACGACCACCACGCGCGCGACGCATGATCTCGTACTACCGACAATACGTGCATCGGTCGTTAGCGTGTTTTGCGCGCATGACGCAGACTGGGTTGGTGTGGATCTCGAACCAGAAGGTGCATGACGACGAGATCCAGCCGATCTTCGAGGAGCTACGGCAGTACATTGAGTCGTTGCAGGTGGCGCGATCAGCGCTGATAGGTGTGCTAGATGACATGTTCGAGCCTGCAGCAACGACAACAGTGGCCACCGCACCACTGCCGACCAAGGCCGACAATGATCAGACGGAATTGGTGGCAGGTATCGAGGCGCCTGGTGGGAGTTCTCCAGAGGATAATAACTCAATTGATGGGAACAAGTTGCTGGCGAGTGCAAGTAGGAGTACCAGCTCTTGCAGCGAAGTGGAGAAGGAGAATAGTCCGCCGGCGATCAACGTGGTGGTGCGCAATGCCACCGACTTGGACAAGCCTCGAGGGTCCCCGGCCGCTACCGAAGCTGCTGTTGTTATATCCGCTGAGCGAGGCTCCTTGCTCATGGCAGAGCAGCAGGCGGATCCCTCTGTACCGTAGTACCATCTGCAGTGGCTATAGCTGTGAGAGCCTCTCACTGAGAGGACACGGCTCGAGCTTGGCAACAGGAAGTTCCTGTCAGGACGGATCCATGGTGGTATCCATCAGCGGATGTAGCCATTTTTTTTACTCCAAAGGTCATCGTGGTACCGACATGTATCTTTGAACCGTTTGTCACATGCAGCTTTGCCAAGCAGAATAGCGGCAATTTTGCTGCTGTGGATACACTACACGCGTTGCAGCGGCAGCAAGCTCTGCCGGGCTCCAGAATTAACAATATGAGCAAGTAGCGTCGCGTACATGTACTCTGTCGTGGTATGGATAGTTTTGTGCAAATACGATCTCCGACGAATGGTTCGACGCTCATGCACTTGCATACCGGTACACAAGCGCAAATCGCCACGGGCCCCCAAAATCTACGTACACGTAGGCTAAATGCTTTGCTGAAGGCTGAGGACAAGCCGTCATCAAGGCGCCACGCCCGTCATCGAGCTCTGATCAATTGTACCCAGTTGATATAATTTATTACCCATTTTAATAGTCATGGGTACCAATCGCGATTTACAGCCCATTTTATCGACTCGTTTTCGAGCCTATAATTAGTAATTTGCTGGCGTAAACTGCAACATGTGACTTTTCGTCGACACTGCCTCACACCAATGCTCAACGTTCTGGTCGCTTCCTGCCACATTGGAGCGCCCCAGGCTCAATCGGCCAGCGCATTGTACTCGAGCTCTCTTCTTCCTCGCTGTGACGCCGCGTGTGTGTCGTCTCGGAATCAGCGAAGTGTATCTCGGGGCCACATCTCTAGCCGTTACCCGCGCCGTTAAAGCGAGTCTTGCACCTTTTTCGTGCGGGTCCAATGCACTTGCCTCTGCCAGCTGTGGCTCTATTACTACTTTGCATTGCAACTCCACACAACGTGCAGCGTGCAGCGTGCAGCAACTCCACCTGCTTCCATCGTCTGTTGTCCAGACTTTCAGCGCTCACTTTCCATTTCGGTCTGTCCCCACCGCAAACCAGCCTACCGGTAGTCAAGCGTCTACATTTCAGTCCGGTATATCGAGTCGCCCCGTCGTCACATGATGGCGATTGCTGCTGAAGCTTCGTCGCCTTCGGTCCGCAATGCGCGCGTGACGCCCGGCAATTTATTCCGCCGCATGTCGGCGCAGGCCATGGGGATGGAAGCCGCAGCGCTGTGCCACCGCTCACATTGGGTGCCCAAGTCATCGCGCTCGAACTGCTCGAATTGCCGTCGCAGCTTCCGCCTCTGGGCTGGCAAACATCACTGCCGTCTGTGCGGCGAGATCGTGTGCGGCGCCTGCTCCACCAAGCGCATTTTATTCCAGAAGAAGAGCGTCCGCACTTGCGATGACTGCGTCCACGCCAACGTGCAGAATATCTCGGAGATTAACCGTCGCCGCTCCACGCCCGAGTTCCTGCGCTCTTATACGAGTCCTGCAGCTTTCGAAGACGCCGACGACAGGTTCGAGCGCCACAGTCTTCAGGCAATGCCGTTGCGTTCAGCCAGCAGCCGTGAATTCCACAGGCATCACTCGTCGTTTGTATCGACGGGTTCGCGCCGCGGGACTGTCAGCGACATCATTAACCAGGTCGAGGAGAACACCACGTCGTCCGAGGAGGCGACGCTCATGAACTACCGCATCACATTCTCCTGGCAAACCCACATCATGTCGCTAGTTATCGCGGCGCTTGTCCTCTCCATCGCCTGCACGCTCAAACTCATGGCACAGGTGTAGGAGAATGTAAGAATCTAGTGTAGTGTACGAATACATGTATGATCATTATTTCAGCTGCAGGCAGGCGACTCGCTGCAGCCAAATAGACTCGACACCGCATAACCAGGTGACAATGCATGCTCGATTTTTGGCAGGGACGCAACAATTATGACATCATTGCAACGGCCTTACTGAACATGTAGTTTCCTGCCCGTCACACCGATGAGATCCTCAAATTTTCTTTAAAATATAGCTGTGCAAAAAGGCAGACGCGGATAATATGAGGAAATTCCACTTCAACTGTACAGAGGAAAACTGAAGCTTCAACTCGAACTAGTCATTTTCAGGCCTACTAAGCTTATAAGTAGTATTCTTCCTTGTGATAAGGGCCTTATCACACGACCGCATGCACGGTTGCTGGAACCGATTTGCTCATTTTCAAGGCACCAGTAGCGAGTGCAAAGGCAATAGGACCCTGCATCTGTGAGGTGGTTCCGTAGGACGGCACGGTCGCACTTGTAATCACTGCCGGGTAGTCGATAGAAGAGCGTGGTGCACATACACCAACAAACACAACGAGGCAGGCGTTGATGCAAGCCAACGTTCCAGCGATACTGCCGAAGACATGGCCGATCATCCCAAGGTCCATCAAACCGATGAAAACTAGATACGTAGTCATTCCTCTGTAGCCATACAGGAAGCCGAAGTTTGGGCGTAGAATGTTGTCAGTCACGCTTAGGTGGCATTCGAAGCAAACCAGCAACAAAGCGAAGACGATCGCGTAGACTGCGATGAGAAACTGGGTCACGTCAAGCAGAAAAATGCCAACGAGGCTGTTCACACCCGCTGCAAGTTGCAAACACGCCGTGAGCAAGTTCAGTACGCGTATCGTGCAAACGAGCTTGGTCACCCTCTCCACTCGTAGTCGCAGTATTCCGGAAGTAGTCATTCGTCGATTCAAAGACTGTAATAGTAGTTGGAAGTGCGGTCGACAGTGTTTGAAGCGATGAAATGGTCACGAATGTCACTCTTGGGCTGTCTGGCTGAATGTGAAGTGGCGTTGAATCGCAACGTCAATTCACACGCCGTTGCACCTGTCACCAGAGCCTGCTCCAAAAAAGAACCTTTGTCCAACAACAATAGGCCAAACATATTGTCCACTCGTATCGGGTAACCAGTTCCACTTATCTCAACCTAAAACTGCAATTGTACAGCCACCGCGCTTTTAAGAAATTCCTGTTTGTTATACGCAGATTTTTATGGATTGAGATTCTTCGTAAGTATTGCTATGCTTGGCCCTCTTCATTGTCTTCCCACGCTTCTCTCACTATTCCGCTGGCGGTGCTTGGCCTTTTACGCAGTGTTGCAATCGTGGCTCGTTCGCTTTCGAGAAATTTGGAGCGAAATAGTTCAGTTGATCTTCGCGTTGCCGCCGCAGCCGTCTCACGAGATCGACTGAACCGTTCGTCATCAATCGCCTGGTAGATGAGGTTGCATGCGTGACAAACAGCAACCATTTCGTATTCATGCGGTAGCCATCGAACATCCTCAAACTCCACTATTTAAGTACACAGAGAAACAAATGAGTTTCACTACTCAGGAAAAATGCAGAATAATTACTCACGGGCTTTAGGGTCAAAGGCATCTGATTTCGGGTTCCACAAGGTGTTTTGAAGCATGAAAATGCGTCTCTCGAGCAACTTCGTGACTGTAGAGTACTGACTACTAGTAGTCTTGCTCCCTCGAGCCCATGAAGCCGCTGCTGTCAAGTCTGAGCTTTCAATTGGGCGTAAAGTTGCCTCCGCTTCAGCTCCAAAGCGCTTGAGGAACGCGGTTTCATTCTCGCTCAGTGAAATCGACTACACATTTAACGACAGGAGCATGAGTTTTGTTCCAGCAATAAAACCGCAACTACCAGCCATACCTTGCGTGTGATTTGACACACTTCAGCTTGTTTTTCCGATGATCGTGATCGATTCAATCCAGGAGCACTCACTATATCGGTGCAATGGCAAAATTCTCGACCAGCACACTTGCGGTTGTTGTCGATTGCGATGGAAGACTGTAAGTTCGATCTTTGGTGAGTTAACTGTAATGAAAAAAAAAATTGCTCGAATACGTACCTTCCGTTGTTGAGCCCCACCACCTGCTTCGAAAGCACTACGACGGGTAGTTGTGGGTATGCCTTTCTTGTGAACCAAGTCGGAGAAAAATACCACACCACTGACACGAACAAGCACCAGTCTGTGCATATCCGTGATCTGGAAGTCGGCCGTCAATAGCCGAACACGATCATTGAAAGCAGCCTCAACCTCGTGCACCAGTTTGCGCAATTCTCCCATGATAATTTCTTCCAGCTGATGACTTTGTGCTGTGGCGGGGGCACTACTAGGACGCCTTGAACGTACCACACCTGATGCTTCAGATTTTGCTGTTGAGGCTTGAGACGGCAGCAGTCCATACAATCCACCATTTTCTAGAAGCAAGACCCGCGTACACGAAGAAGTAGCAGTGATATTGTACTTTGCAACAAATGTACCTCGCGCGTTTGTAGGTTGGCGGGCAGAAGGCAGTAGTGGTTGTAGCAACATCGTTGCTACTGCTAGATCTGAGGGTGGTTGACTGAGAACGAAGCTAATTTCTCCATCACGAAGCGGACTGTACACGAGTTGACCCGATTCCTCATGGACAAGACGAGCACGCAAACGCTGTCGAGAATCATCACTAAGTAAAGAAGATTTTGCACAGTGCTTCCGGATAGCCACGGCATTTAACTTCGAACTACTCTTTCTTTTCAATTCCTAACGAGCCAAAGCGTTGTATCATTCTTAGCTGAGAAATAGTATCCATGACTTGAAAAGTGTGAAGATACGAACCCCGGTGACTGACGAGGTAAAATACCAGTCAGCTGGGCTGCCGTTCACGAACAGAATTGTATCTACAATGTCGATCTTGGCTCTGTATTCACATGTATTGTACACGAATGAGACCACATCATAAAGCAATTGTTCAACTCAATCCAAACAACTCACTTGCGCTCCCACAGTCGAGGATACAATCTACAAGAAATAAACACGAAGCCACACCATTAGAAAGCTGCTGAATATGTAAATGTGCTATGGTTGGCGTACTCTGCCCACCGTCGTCGCTGAATTGACGTGTTTTGAGCTACTTGCTCCACAAGATCCACTCCTCGAAGGCCACTAGCCGAACGGTTTTGAATCGATATGAACGGTTGATGATAGCGACTGGCAGACACACTGTGCTTTGGCGAAACTCGAGAACGATGATGTAGACCCACTCTCGAACGAGGTTTGGCATTCATACCAGTCAGCTTAGTCTAAGACGATGAGAATATGGCGAGCGTAAGTCCTCAACGAGGGGCCACACATCTGTAACCATTGACAGTTTAGTTGGCTTTTCGTGTGTGGTCTATTTTGGATCACTTCGTGCTCAGCCAGCAAGCAAATTCACAGTGCATTCGAACAAGATCAAACCAGGGGATAGCATGACGTTCTATTTGCTTAGTGAAGGCCTTACGTGCGTTGTTTATCGCGTGTTAACTTCACGCATTCCTTTTCTGATACTTACACTTGGTGGCGTGGCAACAGCTGCGTGGGCATTTTTTCAGGGGCCTACGAGTCGCTCAAGGTGCTTTCTCGGGTGGAAAAGGGCGTGGACACGGACACACTCGCTGCAGTTTTGGAATTCTGGTTTGTCGACGTACTTTCCTGGTTTCAACTGGATGTGCTTAGCTTACATGTTAGTTGGAACACAGGATCGTCTTGGCTGCAGCTGCTATCTTCCAGCAGTACATCGAGTTTTTCATATCGTGGTAAACTCTGGATACCCCCAACAAATTTACACTACCAATTCAGGAGAAATAACGCTTCTGTTACAGGTTTCCCTTCTACTATTTGTTCAAGTGCGTCGTGTTGGGGCTGCTGTTGACACCAAACAAACAAGTAGGATAAAATTTTGCTGTCTTCCATCTCATACAATTAACCGACGTCACTTGTTTTATTGCAGTTCACGCACCTCTTTTTCGAGGGATTCATTCGACCAGCGGTTGTGAGTATCAAGCAAAAACTTGACACGAACGTGCTCCCGATTATCGAAACGCTCGTCATCAAGTACGTTAATGATTTCTTTCCTTACGATCAAATTCGAGGTTGACTGTTAAATGCTTCTCCTTCAGACACGGCCATTGGTTCAACAAAAGACTGTTGGCTCGCTCGATTCAGCTCTCGTCGGAAGAAGAACTTTTGGAGCTTGAACGAGATCTGCAGGAGAAGCTCACCCAAGTCCATGTACGTTGGACTTTTTGGTGCAAAATTTCCTTTTCGATCGTGAAATTTACTTACCCCATGTCACCAGGACGAAATCTGTGCAAGACAGCGCATTAAAACTTCCAATTAGCTTCAAGACAAATGAAAACTTCACCGAATCACCAGCAAAAATGTAGGACCAGACAAACACAAGCCTTTAACTTTTTTTTCTGATTTATCTTATTGGTTGCACTTTGCTTTGCTCGGCTCGCCGATTGTGTAACTTCAACAAACTTTCTTGCAGCTTGTTTAGTGGTAGAATTCGAAAGTCGTGTCCGCCCGCTTGATGGCGTTTTTGTAGCCCTTGTCGAAGTCTTTGGGCAGCACCACGTATCGGTTCTTGCGCACAGCCTGCAGACCTGCTTCCTGGCAAATAGACGCAATGTCGGCCGAGCTGATCTTCTCCGGACGGTTGACGTAGTCCTCCAGGTCCACTTCGTCTCCCAGATTCATCTTTGCTGTGCATGCCTGGTAGATCAAACGTTTCTGTCGTCGGTCTGGCAGCGGGAACTCGATCTTACGGTCCAATCGACCAGGACGTAGCAGTGCCGGGTCCAATGTATCAGCGCGGTTCGTCGCCATGATCACCTTGACGTTCGTGGCCTGGTCGAAGCCGTCCATCTGGTTCAACAGCTCAAGCAAAATACGCTGCACTTCACGATCGGCTCCTGTTTGAGCATCGAAACGTTTGGTAGCAATAGCGTCCACCTCGTCAATAAAGACAATGGCTGGCGAATTCTCCTTGGCCAACCGGAAGACGTCGCGCACCATACGCGGACCTTCTCCCAAGTATTTCTGCACAAACTCAGAGCCCACGACGCTGATGAATGCGGCGGTGGTGGCGTTGGCCACAGCCTTGGCCAGCATCGTCTTTCCTGTACCTGGAGGACCGTACATGAGCACTCCACGCGGTGGATCCACACCGATCTGTTTGTACAGGTCGAAGTGGGTGAGTGGCAGCTCCACGGCCTCGCGCACTTCCTGCTTCTGGATGTCCATACCACCAATATCAGAGTACGAGACGTCGGGACGCTCAGACATTTGCATCATCTGAATACTGGAGTCCGACTCGGGAGGCAGCACGTCCACGACGGCGTGGGAGTGGCGATGCAGAGCCACAGACGAGTTGGGCTTGAGACGCTCACGGTCCAACGTGCTGAGGATGCGCACGTAGTAGTTGGAGCCAGCCGTGGAGCCCACGATACCGTAATTGGCATCCACCATCTCGAGGAATTGGCCAATGACTAGCGGCACCGACTGGATGCGCTTTACTTCCTCCTTGGCGCGGATAAGTTCGCGCTTGAGATTCTTCATCTCGTCCTTGATGTAACCCTCTTGGATGTCCAGGAACTCCAGGTGACGCTCGAGCGACTTGTACTTGGCATACAGATCCGTCTTAGTTTCGATGGTCACGGGCACCAGCGGCTCCTCGTCCGCGGTCACGGGGGGAAGGCCGATCTCTTCCATGCTGTCTTGCGCAGATCTTTTTTTTTTTTATTTAGAGCCGATATGAAGGGGGAAAAGCTAAAGTTGAATTTTATGAAAGGTTACTGACACTTTTACGGTTTTAAGCTTAGCCTAAATATTGTCAATTGGGTAAAACTGGAAGACAGCTAAATCCCTTCGGTATCATGAAGTACTTGTTACAATACTTTGAATATGGCGCACCCTGGAAGACAAGCTTCTGTATACGTTTTCGTGCATGTACAAAACGTATTTTCAAACGAGTGCTTGGTGGGGTTCTCAAAAGGCCTAGTTATTTTTTAGACTTTAAACACCATCTTAGACAACCTATGACACCATACACCAACTCCAGACTAACAATTGCCTTCACATTTCTGCGTGAATCTTAACTTTGCTCGCAAATTCAATTTGCGGTCGAACATCTTGGTCTCTTCGCTTGAAGCAAAGACACACAGATCCAATGATAAAGATGATCTACCGAGGAACAAAAATCCATGCTGGGTGTTAGTACTGTTCTCGCACGGTAGATTGCATGAATGAATTCCCAACAACGCACCGGGAAGACCACGAATGCCAGTGCAATGGCAGCAATAACTTGGACTTGGGTGCTTAACTGTTTCGATACGAACGCAGCACAGCCACGCGAGACACCCGTAACCGGATTTTTACCACAAGTTCCACTTGGAAGCGCAAACGAGCATGCGCCTTGGCACTCAGGCGTAGGTAGATACAAACCTGTGGTATTAGAGCAAACTTGACGCTGATCGTCCCATTTGGGTACCACTGGATCTGGATGAGAACTTGGGAATGAACTGGTATCAGGAGTGCAGTGAATGGGCAGCCCATAACCACAGCAAAAATTATCTCGCTGAAATTCCAGCACCATGGCACGATAAGAGCCGGTGTCATCACCCCCCACGGCACTTTTAATGTAGTAAGACTGCCACACCAGCATGGCACCAGCGAATTCGTCACTGCGGAAAAAATGTTGACACGTTTGTTTGTCTTGGTCGCTCAGTGCCTCGTACTTCCCCACAGTTAGGCAAGCCACTTGCGCCCCGTAGCTCAATGCAAGACTGGGAGCTCTACTAGCAGTAAGAGCGACCCCACCCATGACAGTTTGAAAGAAGAGCAGAAACACCAATAGAATGAGCTGGGCGAGTAGCAGACACTTGTTCTTGGTTCGAGCAGTGGCAAGTCCAAGCACCGCGGTAAACAAATAGAAGACTCCTGTGAAAATGAGGCCACCGCCCACGTCGCGGATTCTCAAACCCAATAACTGATGATAGTGTTCATTATCCACGAGCAGTGCGCCCAGGACAACGAGTAAAATCATCTGAACGATACTGTAGCATCCAGAACCGGCCATGAACTGGATAAGGCTCTCCTTGTCGAACATCGCGGCAAGGTGATGTACTGGGGTCGTAGCATTGGGCAGGTAGATTTCACTCGCAGCGAGTTGACTAGCCTTTATATTTTTATCGAGGTTGCAGAATGGAGTGTTCCTTATCGGGAAATGCGATGAAGCTCGGTTTTTGCTGACTTTAGATTTTTTTCCCCCTCTTTTCCACGTATTTCTCCTCGCTCTACAGTGTAGAGTCTACACAGCAAGTTTGACAATGCGGTCAGAATATGCTTCGTCGTACACGACTTCACCTCCAGCGCGACCATCGACGTGGCAATTGCGCTTCGGGAAGAGGTCGGCATCTGAGCAGAAAGAGCCCAAACTTGAAGTCGATGTCGGTTCGACGCACGGAAACCAGACTCACTCCCCATCAATATCGAAGAAATTACTGAGTGCACTCGATACAAAGCCAACAAGACAGGAAGAATTGAGCCGGGAGTGCGTTGACGATCTAATCGGTCGTCGAAATGCTTTCGCCAGCGAACCTGAATTACGTCTCCGTACTCTAAGAAAAGACGCTGAGGATGGAGACATCGTTATACAAGAGGAGTTTGGTCGCGAAGAAATCGCAGCAGAAGCGAAAGAGATTATTCGAGCTCGATTCCAGATTGAAACCCAGACAAAGGCCATGCGTCAAGCATCAAAATACCGAAAAACATCAACGCGACGAACGGAAAATAAAAAACCGCATCGAGAGATTTCAGCTACAAAACCAACAGTATTCAATAATTTTACCAAGAACACAAGCCTAAGAATGAATCACACGACGCCTCCATACCACGAGAAGGAGCTGAGCGCTCGTTTAAAGCCAAGAGAGCACGACAGTCAGAAATCGGAAGTGAAGTCAACTAAGTATGTATCACGAGTTCAGCGAGAGCATCAGCCACTGCATAAAACTGGCACGACCGAATTAAGAAAGAAACCACGCTCTTGTCCCATTCCACCTCAGCAACTGCCGATGGAACGTCGGCACGAGATTCGTCGAAAAGCACGCGACGATCGCAGAATTCAGGCCGCGGAAGAGCGCGCGATTCAGAAGTTATTAGAATCTGCTACCGATGACAAAGACAAGGAAGAAACCCAGGAGCAACGGCCTGTTGAAGAAGAAATTGAGCGTCTCAATTTAGAGAATCAAGAGGCTGCAGCGCTCGAAGAACGACTGCTGCACCGAAAAGCATGTTTGAAGTCATTGAACAAAGTTTTCGATGCTTGGAATAAATATGTGGAATCCAAGCGAGAGCATGAAATCCGAGTAGTTACCGAGTTCAATTGGCGTGTGATGAAGCGTATCATGACAAGTTGGAAGCGATATACACATCACCGTAGCCAAGCAAGAGCAGTTGAGCAAGCACGCTTGAAATTGGTACGAGAACAGCAAATGAACGACCAAGCCAGAGAATTTTATTGTTTAAAACACCTGCCAACGTGGTTTTATCAATGGATGGCGTTCGTGAAGCAGCAAAAGGATCACCGTGCTGTAGCAGAGGCCGTCGAGAGACGTAAAGCACAATCTAAGCAACTTATTGAAAGGCTACAGCGACAGAAAGTACTTGAAAAGTCCCAGTCTGATTCCGAAGATCAAGCAAAAATAAAGCTTCTTGGCATTGAAGAAAGTGACCTTCATCTTGAACCTGCAGTCGAATGTCCACGTGCTATTAGAACAACGAGAAGTAAGACAAAGACGTCCCAAGACAAACGAGAATTACATGCATGGGCAGATCCAAAGGAATTCCAATCAATACGATCCGACGGTAGTAGCCATGCTACATCTACATGTACAAAATCTCCGGTTCTAGTGCCGCCTCCACCACATTTTCCAGGGGCTTCATTAACACGAGCCCCAAAGCGGGTAGATAAAGTCTACAAGGTCATGGAACAGCGTGCAGTTGAACGGAAACAACGGCGTGAAGAGTTGAAACGAAGATACGAAGAGCTTGAAAAGAAGAAGCGAAAAGAGCAGGAAGAACAACGCGCAGCTCGTGAGGCTCTTCTTCTCGAGCAGCAAATTGAGGAAAAGGCACGGATACGGGAACGAAAACTAGCAGAAGCTCTCGCACTAAAAGAACAACAGGAACGGCGTAAACACTTGCTTGCTCAATTGGACAAGTCAAGGAAGCACAACCGAAAGCGACTTCTATTCTTCTATGCTTTTCTGCCGTGGCAAAAGTGTCATGCCCGCAATGAACGAGTTTCACGCAACGCAACTCGTTGGCACGAGCTGCGAACGGTTTATTTGCATTGGGAACGATGGCAGGAGTTTGTACAGATCTGTCTGAAGGCTCATCGTCGACACGAGCGAGCGCGATTAGAAGAGGCTGCCCGACGTTATGCTCGTTCTCTCCAACGACGTGCACTGGGGGGATTGGTACGCTACCATCATAAAATACAGGCCCGAGCGCTTTCGCTACACCGTCAACATCGTTGGAATACTCTTCAACGCTCATGGATCCATTGGAGTAAAAGCTTCGCGAAAGAACTTGCACACCAACAAAAAGTAGTTTTTAGTGCGATGACCAAAATGCAGCAAGCAAAGCTTCGCCGAATCTGCGCTCAATGGCGCAAAGTCACGAGCGAAACCAAGCTCCAGAAAGAATTTGAGCGTGAGAAACAGCAACTGTGGCGCAAGGTGCGGGGATGGCTTGACGAGGACAAGTAAGGTGTCGATGTTGCACCATACTCCAAGTTTTAGCAAAAACAGCATGAAATGACCCAGAATTTTCTTAACAGGTTAACGCGTACTAACTACCTCTGCTTTTTAGAATTTATTTTTCAAAAACAACTGAACATATAGAGAACTTTTGCTATTAAAATAGCAGCTCAGGGATTTTTTATTTTTTTTGTGGTAATGCAGCTCAGGGATTTAAAACAAAATACATTGCAGCGTAAGTGTTGATACACTAGTTGGTGGGTCATTGGTAATCTATCCGTCATTTACTTAGGCTTCTGCAGGATAAAAAGTAAAACACAAATAGAAGGCCATTAAGCCTCCCCCCTCCCCCCCCCCCCTGTATTTGAATTCTGGTATTATAAGCCCCGGGATTATAATACCGCTTTAACAGTAGTTAATTTCAAGTCCATCGCACCCATTTTGGAAGTCTGACATCACCACCCGCTTCCTATCTAAGGTCACTTTCGAGGTCCTTTGGTCCGCAATTCGGACCAGTGATCAGCAGTATCCGTCAGCTTCTCCAAGGAAAGCGTAAACGACAATTTGTATGAGATCAGGATGCACTGGAGTTTTCGTAAGTTAGTTCACTTGTAGCACAGGCCAAGCTACAATTTGGCTGCTGCAACGGCGGATACAATAATAGAGAACTAGTTGTTAGAACAACACAAAGATTGCTCGATAATAGAGCTATTCTCTTTGAAATCTAGACTAGACAAGTTCTCTAAAAAGAATCATCGATCTGCGATGGTACTTGAAATGAAATTTTAATACTATTGAAAGTACGAAGTACTATAATTTAAAAAAATCAAACCAAAAATAATATAAATATTTACGTATAATACGTATTAGAGTGCGGGACTCTATTTTTTTAGAGTGCGGTAAAATCGAAATTGCGCACTCTATT